TCGTCGATAACAACCGTGCAGATGCGACTGATTGACTCTACAAGCTCCGCTCAGTGATAGACCAACTGACCGAGAAGTTCAAGTTCGTCTACATTCTGTCCAGCAAGATTACTACCGACGAGTCCCTTTGGAAATTCAAAGGAAGACTGAAGTTCAAGGAGTACAACCCCAAGAAGCGTGCAAGGTTTGGCAACAAGGTGTATCGAGTCTGCCAGAGCACGGGAGTTGCCGCTGGATACACCTGGAACTTCAAAATTTACACCGGCCAAGACCAGATTGCTGGACTGGCAAGTACGAAAATTGTATTTGACTTGAATGCCAATCTTCTTGACAAAGGGTACACCATTTTCCTGGACAACTGGTTCAGCAGCCCAGAACTGTACCTGAAACTACACAACCAGAAAACCAACATTGCCGGGATGGTGAGAAGCAATTGTCAAGACATGCCCAAGGACTTGTGCTCCTTGAAACTTGAGAGAGATGATGTTGTTCACCGCTCCAGTGACAAAAGGCTTGTTCGCCTTGGTCTGGCGAGACAAAAAAGATGTCCGTATGATGTCCACGATGCACACAGCCGAGATGGCCGACACCGGCAAGCAGAACCGTGACCGCATCGCTTTGGAGAAACCCAAGTGTGTACTCGACTACAACAAGGGGATGAAGGGTGTGGACATTGCAGACCAGCTGGCACGGTCACACCGTTCAGTCAGAAAATCAATCAAATGGTGTAAAAAACTGTTCTTTTTTTTGCTTCATGTTGCTCTTGTAAACTCCTATCTTGTGCATAAGGAAATTGGTGCACTGACAGTTTTTTGGCATTTAGACACATGTAGGTGATTGAAATTTTAGAGTTGTGTTCACCAAATTTGCCAGTGTATTGATCTAGAGGTAGACCATCCCGTCTTCCTGGTCCAGGCAGACTGACAGGAGGACATTTTGCTGTAGAAATTCCCCCAACTGGAAAACGAGCTACATTATACAAACGGTGTGATGTTTGTTCTAGAAATGGCAAAAGAAAAGAGACCAAAGTGATGTGTGAAATTTGTGAAGTGCCACTTTGCGCTGTTCCTTGCTTCAAGTAATATCACACTTGAATAATTGCTTATTTGTGCAAAGTTTCCTGTATTCCAAGACATCATAAATGAAATAGTACATGAAATTTTATGATGTTTGTTCTAGAAATGGTAAAAGAAAAGTGACTAAATTGATGTGTGAAGTTCCACTTTTCAATGCTCCTTGTTTCAAGGTTTATCACACTTGAAATTAATTGCTTATTTACGTAAAATTTCCTGTATTCAAAAAAATAGTACATGAATTTTGAGGCAAATCCTTCAAGGTTTATTATACTTGAATCAATTACTTATTCACGTACAATTTTGGCAAACTTTTTCACAAGAATTTTCTCCTGTGTCAAGACATCGTGTAATGCAACTACTCTCTCTTTTTTTTTTTGGCCTGAGTTTTTTACTGGAAGGTTCCTTTTTTTTTTAATAAAATTGAAGATAAAATGATTGTAAATATGAGAAGAGAGAAAAAAAAGAAATGACAAGTCGTCAAGAGAAGAAGAAAAGTGAGAAATTAATCTTGTGTTTTTCTTGTGTCTGTTTATTTTATAATTATGGGGAGGATTAGTTTGGAATGATAGTTTTCATGGGAAGGTTCAAACTTAGAAGGGGCTGTTTATATATATCATTACATACGGAAAGGGGATTTGCATAGAACTTGCCAAAAAAACAAATTAGAAATGTTCAAGAAAATTATGAGCAAACTTCGCGCAAAATAAAAACATTAGGGGAATTTTACGGGAAATCTTCACTGGGTATTAGCTGAAATAAAAACTTGTGAAGCATACTCAATGTACAAGTTGGGGCTGGGCATTGATGCTGGGCATGAATGGACTACTGGGAAGCGGGCACACGAGCCACGGTGCCCGCTAAAAGCAAGCATAGACTGTGTGAACTTAGCGGGCGCTGCACTCTCCACTGTGACCGAGCGTCCTTGGGTAGTTGGTGTTGTTACGTGGGCAAGGCAAGTGCTGGGTACCTGGTATTTTGTTGAACAGGATCCAAATACCCCAGCAGGCTTCATGACTACACAGAGCCAGGCTGTGTGCAGTGTGTGACCCAGCAAACTTTGCAGATACATGTAGGCCTGGTGGCCAATGTAGCCGTCTGAGGTTGCCGTTAGCAAAATTCGGAAAATAAACCCGGCAGCCTGGTGGGTTGTGGTAAAAATATCCCGACGTGAAGGGGTTAAAAGACTGTAAAAGATTGTAATGACAAACCTATTTGAAGGCTTGCACATTTTAGTATAAAATGGTGGTTGCAGTGTCTGAGCCATTTTATCCACATTGTCTTGATATTTCTATCAATATTGTTCTTTCTTTGTATTGTGAAGGTCATGCCAACCACTGGCATGGTCCAAATCACCACCTTTGAGGCGGGCACCGTCATCCCAGACGGTGCAAAAGATCCATGCCGTCATCATCGGTGACTCCTTTACCAGGTATTTGCAGAGGAACATGTCAAGTGACTTGCTTGGTGTTGATGTGATCACTCTCTCAGGAGCCACAATCAGTAGCCTCCAGAAGAAGATCATACATGTAGATCAGAGGATGGACAATATGACTGGCCAAGTGCATATTTATTCCTTTACATAAACACCTTAAGTCAGTTTATGGTGAATTTCTGATGACTTAGTGAAGAAATTTCATTTTCATTTTGCCCAACACCCTTTCAGTCAATTTATGGTACATTCCTCCTGTCACCTGTGATGTGGTTTAAACAGGGCTAAGAGGGATAAGTTAACTGTCTAAGGTACATGTATTCATGAATACTTTTACAAGTACAGGTTTCATTTTTGAAGTTTTTTGTTGTATTGTGTAATAGTGACGGTACAATTTTTTTTTTAACAATGTCTATACATGGGAAAGAACGGGAAGATTATTTGCGCGAGTACGAAAGAGTAACTTTAACTTAAACGCATCAACATACATGATGCATTTACCTTTGTTAAATTATTAAGCTTAAGTGAAATAGTTTTTTTAATCACATGCATCAACATGATGCAGCTACAAACATGAACCTTTTCCAAAGTCTTGTGCCCAAAACTGCATTTTATCATTTTTTTGTTTTTCAGCAGCAACAGGTTTATATGCAAAATACATCTTTAACTCCCTGTAATTTATTTATATTTTAATTCCCATTATATGTATAAACAAAGATATTATCGGTTGTTTTTTTTTCACCAAAAATGGGGCACTTTATCCTTTTTTTTAGATATATGTAAGCAGCTGAAGACATTTATGATGGACATGATATTGGGGTAAGATTCTAATTTAGTTACATAAGGAATGACAGTAATTATATTTTTATCTGTTGTGTTTGGATGGGAAAAACCATTGCTCCTGTTGTTTTTCTTCATGAAAAGTGACTTTTTGCAATTTATAAATGGATCAGAGTGTACTTAGCTATTGCAAAGGATTTGATTACAAAACAAATTGTGCAAAGTATGTATTGAAAAATGTGTTTCCTTCAGCTTGTCACTGAATTACAGGTATTTTTTGTTTTGAAGCTGACGAATTGATCTCTACAGACAACTACTTTCCTTGGACATGACATGGATGACGGGACATGGGGTGTTAATCACGCATTATTGGTTTATTATTGTTTTTATTTTTTTATTGTGATGTTATTGTGTTTTATAGTGCTTTAGTATTAACAGTGTAATATGAAACTAAAAGAAATACTTGCCACCATTGCTAAAAAATGGAAGATTTATGTTCAAATATAATGTGTATAGCTATAAAATATTCCATACGAGCAAACATCATTAAGTTTTGGAAAAAGCCCTTTTATCCGGTATTTGGTCATCACAAGCAGCTCAACAACATGTTCATTTTATGACTTGAAAATCAGTTGACATAAAAATGTGAATATGTATTCTGCAAATAAAGTGAATAATGTGTTTATTGCCTGAACATGTTTGTGTTTTCTGGTATCACTTTTGTACCTGCTTAGTTCCTCCTCTTTAAACTTGGATATTTCCAACATAAAAAAGACAAATAAAAAATCTGAAATATGAAGGTTTAAGAATCTGTGATTCCCTCTTTGTGATAAGCACAGCTAAGCCCCGTGCCCATTCATTTAGCCTTTCTTAATTAAACCCACACCCCCCCCAGAAACAAACTACACGGTTTTTAGATGCCTTTCGAAAACACCTTTTTCTGCTTCAAAGTTCTTGTTTTGAAAAGGAATTAACAGTTATTTAAAGTGATCCTGTTCACTGCATTTGGACAAAATATGTAATTAAAACTGCATTTAATCCAGTCGGTGTTATCTCAAACGATAGAAACATTACGCTGAAGTTGTCAATACTATCGCAAAAGACCGTCTACAATACAACACCGACATCTGGGAATGTGCGTGCCAAAGCATGATGTGATGTGTACGGACCAATCGGGAAGGCAGAGAACTGTGGAGGCCGTTATGAAAGCGATAGACCTCGACGGTTTGGGAAGGACATTGGTAAAATATTGCCCTGACCCATTTAAACAAAAAGAGGGAAAATGATGTCCAGAATATCCTAGAATATGAATTTATCTACTAATCTGAGGTACAAATGGGTTGTGGCAGGTTAGCAAAGTTGTGGATTTTGCTGTCTTCCATCACGCAAAGTTACTCCACCCTTGATTAAAAAAAAAACCCATCAGTATATGAAAGATATAGCAACCGTTCAGTTAGCCAATCGATAGTCTCAAACTTCCGAAATTTAACGGATTCCGCAAGCTGTTGCATTAAATATGTAGAAGCAAGGTCACAGTCTGAAGCTCACGCATATTCAGCACGTAAATGGAACAACTTCTGTGTGCACTGTGGACTGACTGTTAAAGCTGTGCTGAACATTATGCACACCATTCAACACGAGTGCTGTTGATCGAAAAAGCGACAACACTGAAAAAGTTAATCCCATGGCCACTAGGAAAGAGAAAATAAACTTACCTTACTAAGCTTCAGAAGGTCATTGACCTCCAGCTGTTGATATATCTGCAATCTATACTCCTCCATTTGAATTTTCTTAATCTTAGCCAAGTCATAGTCTTCAGTCTCTATGGCTCGGCGTTTCTCTACCTCATAACGACCTAACTTCTCTCCAACCTAGAAGATTCAAAGATTGTGTTCAAAGAACACAAAATCGAACATTAACGAAACAACAAAAGTATATGTACAGTGTAGTAATTCCCTGTACATAAAAATTACTCTTTACAAAAACCAACACTTAAAGTGAATGACCAAAGCTCAAACCACATATAATACAAAACCTGCTGCAAACTGCTTGCTGGCTACAGTGACCTAAACACACATCAAAAAAGTAGGAGGCTGATGTTTTGATTCCAGCAGAATCTTTCTCAAAGGAAAACAACATGGAGAAAGATTCTACTAGGATCAAAATGTCAGGCTCTCCTATTTTTAGAACAATTATAATGTATAAACTTGGATTATCAAATGACTGAAGCAAGTTTTTCTTTTATCTGAGATTAGAATATCTACAGGTCCATCCCTTCCCAGCAAAGGTAAAACCTACGAATCCACTTCCATCATTAAAAAACAAAAACAAACAAAAAAAAAAAACCTTTGCTATCTTAGCTAGTGTTTCTACTGATCTTAATGTTTTGGAAGGAAGGAATATAAATATTTATGTACCAGCGTTATAGTTTTATGCAAAATAAGACAACTCTGTAGATTTGGGCAACAACTGCCAGTTCAGACTTATCTGAACTGTCTCCGGGACAGACAGAAAAGTGGTTAGATGAGACAATATCAGAAAATCAGGGATGTGATTGGTGCTTTGGAAAAAAAACTGAAATTGCAATTGCAAAGCATGAAGCCTATACGGCATGGGGTTCTGGGCCTACTTAAGGGCCTTGGGAAAAAAATGAAGTCTAGATGTTCGGTGGTACATTCTAAGTCTCTCTGGGTCATGCTTTCAGCAAAAATATTTTGAAATTTCTGCAACTTTGTCTTGTATTATTATCAATTATGGATAAATTAAACATTAATAGTTCTAATTTCAGTTTGTTAATGTCTATCCTATAGTTTAATATAAACTTTTCTCAGTCATTTGTTCCGATAAAAAAGAAAAGACTAAGAATAAACAATATTCCACCGTTCCATTCATTCTGTTTGTGTTTCATTTCCATCTCAAAGGCACCCAAATCTCTATGGTAAAATTACTTAAGTTTTAATTTATCTTGCAACTTGACCTATATAATGTTTTGAAAATATTTGGCTTTTGACACAAATTTAGAAAGTATGACTTGAACTGGTGTCCTGACTTCAGAAACTGGATTGTAATGACTTTGGGAAATGGAAAGATTAAATGAGAACTTACATGTACCTGTTTGAAGTTTAATCACGATTTTATGAGAAAGGGCGAGCGAGAGATTACGTGAGATTCCAGTTGCGCATGTACGGTCATAATTCAAAGAAATACAGTATGTGTGGGTTGATGAATGCCAATCAAACCTTGAATAACAGAAAAGATGTTATAGAGAACTTACCCTGCGAACTACCTGACGAGAGAAGGGCGGGAATGGAGGGCACGTAATCTCTCGCTCGCCCTTTCTCATAAAATCAAGATTAAACTTCAAACAGGTAAGTTTTAATCTTTCCATTTTATTTCGAAATCTCGCGAGAGTCCGTGAAAATTTAACACCCATCAAGCCACATATAAGTTTGTTTTTTTTTTAAATTGAGGTATGTTTAGGCATAATTACAGGAATACAACAATCCTGATGGTTTATTCATGAAAACCAAGGTAAATACCACAAGTGTCAGCATCGCTTCTGTCAACATTCCACTTGAGTAGATCCAATATAAATATGAGAACTTATTAACTCTGAACTTCACTTTAAAAGAAAATATAAACAAAATGTCAATGTGACAAAAAAGAAAACAACCAGCCTAAATGTCTTGATGCTATATCAAGTTGGTAACTGTTCCTGTAGCCGAGTTGTATGTACATGAGTTGAACTGGTTTGGTTTTTTTAACACATCCATGCACAAGGATACAGTACATGTACAGCTTCACACTACGGGTTGTAATCTAAGTAAGGCGGTCGAATACGGTTTCAAGTTAGTAAAGTCACTATTTCCAAGGCTTCATTAAATACAACCCTGTTTTCTGTTTTGCTGTAACCGCACTCTCAGAATGGACAGCATAGAGAATCTTCCAATAAAATTCCCATTTAACTTTCCTGCAATAATGTGTCAGCCAAATTATTTTGCTGAAATGGGAGAGGTTTATTGTAATATTTCTGGAAAGTAACCTCTTTACTCCATCATGCAGTTCTCAGAATTTCTGGGAGTGGTACTCCCAGCCTATTGGCTGCCGAGGTGGAGGCTGCCCTAGTGGAATGTTGTTTGAACTGTTCGTTGTCCACTCCAGCCTGGCTCATGATAATATGGATCCATTTAGCGATTGTATCTTTGCTCACTGGAGCCTAAGGCTTCTTGATGAAGCTGATAAAAAGCTGGTTTGATGTCATTCCCCTTTGTCTCGAAGCTCTTTAGTGCGGCTGAGGTAGTGTTTGAGGTAGGTAAATACACAGAGATGTCTATTTGCGGGGTATGCCTTCAGTATGACTAAGAGCCCGGTGTGTCCTGGTCTACTTTGCTTAACTAAGTCGCTGATTCGGAAGAAAAATGTGCTTCCTTTACAAGACATGTGATCTACGTTCAGTTTGTGAAGTCTGCCCCCGCTGGGCTGAAATGAGTGCCACTAGCATGACCAATTTCAGGGTGAGGTGTTTGAGATCTAGAGTACTTGCTGGTGCCCACTTCCTTACCATATCAAACACAAGTTTAACCACTTCATGCCGAGGCATTTTTCAATGTTGATAATGCTGGGTCGGCATGACTATCATTTTTTCCGTTTTCAAAATCCTTCAAAAATTCATCATTCATCATTCATTTATAGCCAC